TCTTAGACAAATCTGCTTTACTCCAAGTCTGCTAAAAATTGTTATGAAAAAAAGAACAATATTTATATACTTGAAAACCCTCTTGAGATTTATATTTAAATTATCTTAACAGGACACAGTTAGCTTAAGCCCTAAGATATTAACTAGTCAACATTCTTGTATATTCAGTACATAGCGGAAGTAAAACCAAGCATGTAAAAGTTGTGATGCTTGCATGCATCCTTGCCTTGAAATATATTTTGCAAAAGCTTAAAGATACCTCCTACGGTTAGTTCAGAACGCCACCAAGTAGGGATCAATGAAGAAAGGCAACTAATTTTTAAAGAATTTTCATTAGTTCGGTGTGGCTTATCGGGACTAGTTGTTTACCTGCACCAAGAGTATTTACATGTCAAAAAGCGCCCAGGATGATCTTAGTGATCCTTTCTACATTTGCATTGGCAGTTATCGCCCAAGGTTGGAAATCTTGCGTCACTTAATTTTTTAGACGCTTCTACGAAAGAATTATGGTGCTACGCATGTTCAAGTGCTCAAAGCGGATGTGGGCCGCCTATCGACGTGCGACTAATGCATTGGCGTTTATGCATTGGAGCGCCGGTACACGAGCAAATGTGCGTCAAAATGATTGAAAAAGTGAATGGTAAGTCAGGGGTTTTACCTCACCATATACATGAGCACGTGAAATTTTGATTTCACCTTTCTGAGAAATGCAGCAACCATTATCCAGAATAATACGTTTTTGTCAGGTGACTCGGACAGTCAGTGAAAACGAAGAAAAATCGGCTTACGCCTTTGACATCCCTTTTTGTCCCATACGTTAACGCACTACGTTACAATATACCTACAATAACCATCCGACTATTCAAATAGATATCACCGATAGCAAACAAACGGCATACCTATTTTATAGTACTAAACACTGACCCCATGTGAGATACTTAAATGAGGCCACTTATCAAATACTTATACGCAGTCATTGTTAATATTTCGTTAAGTGTTTAGCCAAACCAAAGGAATAGAACAAAGAATACTATTATTTACCAGGCAAATTAATAGAGTTAGCGGTCATGGCTATGCACTCACAGTCAGATCTGCGACAGAATATGCATACATATGAATGGAAGGACATTACACAGCTTGATCACTTATTTTCTCATAGGATATGTACGACTACCAATAAAAGCAAAAACATAAAAACGTTAGCACATAAGGACAGAGATTCTTTATTTGGTGTCCTCCAAAAATTGTAGATGTTCGTACGATCATTGATATCTTCGACTTTTTCTTCCAATAAATAAATAAATCAAACTTTATCTGCTAAATTAGACTAGGTTTAACGGTTCTAGCAAAAGCCTCAGGCCCAAGTCGTTGACAAATGCGAGACTAAATTAAACAGGGACAATTTGCTGAATTGGTAAGGCATTTGAGCATTAGTCGTAGAATAAAAAACAAACTTGCTCACCCGAACAAATAGTTAAACTGACGATTTCTCTTTTAAAAATTAGTATACGAATTGCTAATGAAGAAGTTTTATTTTTGGCACTAACGCCTTAATTACTGATAACGTGAGCTTTAAACTCATTCTCTATTCAACTAGACCAAGTAATAGTGACACGCGGCTGTCTCAGTGATCTGCTTCTGACGTCACAGGTCCGCCTGGACATGCCGAAAGTTCGACGGCACGGATATTGTCTGTACTCTGTTTCAAATCAACAGTATCTACAAAGCCATTTGAAAGGTGAAGCATTACAACTTTGGTCTATGGGCTCTATTCGTCCGGAGACGGAAAATTATAAAATGTTCTGCTTCTGCAATGATTGGTCTGGGTGTAACACAACGACTAAAGTCTACCACACACCTTTTTTAACATTGCTTATGATTTTCTACTACACCTTCTTGACCTAGACGCAGTACAGTCAGCCTTTACTTCGATCTCATTAACCGCACTAGCCAAGCCTTTGTTCCCATGAACACTTTTTATCGCACATGTTTGCATATACACTACTGCGCTTATACTAATTTGCTGAACTGGGCAGTTTTTAAGATTTTCCGCAATTATCCACAAGCTATAGTAGCCCAGAACACAAACACTACTTTTATAAACATTTATGAGAATTTTTCATGCATCCTAAGAGCTTTTGTAGTCAATACTTACGTACAAAATAAAACAACTACCGTATATGAAGGCATACTTATTTCAACATTTTAAAACAGAAAATTTGTACAAAACATAAAGCGGTACACAGTCCTCCAAACATTGATTCGGGGAGGAATAATATAGTAAGTGTTTATAGGAAACAGAATATCTTCGAAAATAATTACTAAAAAGACAGTTAGAGCCTGGACGCTGGCAACGTGTATTTTAGGCGAGCATTCTCAAACAGCAGAACGAACTGAAGGAGGTGATCATTGACAATATCTGAAAATAAAGAGGAAAACAGGTAAAGAACCCAGAATACACAACTACGTTTCTACGATTAGAGTGCCAAGTTAGGCTGAACAGGTTATGAAATTTATTCTTATAGAGTAAAAACAAAAGCAAATTTTTGTAATTGACAGCATTAATTAGTCTAGCTGATTTCCTGAACACTGAAAACAATCAATAGGATAACTACTATTTTTTGTTATTAACTTCTCCACCCCGTCTCGACATTCGGTGCCCAAGTATACTAAATGACGGCTGGCTACGTATGGATCTGGGCGATGCTTCTACGGTGGAGCCAGTAGACTACTGTTCTGAAGTAGTTGCAAGACTTCTCACCGACGTGCCACTTCAGAGCATACTGCAAAAGTAAACGAAAACTAACGATAAATTCTCATCGGGTCATTACATTTGTGTGGGAGGGCAAAGGTAAACATGTGGGCAATTACGTTCGTAATTACAAGCAAAGTAGTCATGAGAATATGGATCTTTGAGTATTCTTGATTGTGGTTTCTCTTCGTGCACCCTCTGTCCATATATAAATGTAATGTTCCAATAGGAGTTTATCGAAAGCTTACTTATGCCCGTCAACTGCTCTTCTTAATTATTTAATGAGAATATCTGCTACGTTAAGGCCACTTGTGACGCAAGTCCTGACTTTGACGTAGTCCCCATATTCACTTACCCCGGGCATCGAAATTTGACATATCCTAGGACCAGGAGCAACCAAAAGGGAAAGTATACACATTGTAGCAGAGACGAAGAAGAAAATGACGTAGGCTTTTCAGGAGTATCCTTAGATAGGTGACAGACCTCTTGGGCGTGAGGTTTGCATTATCACAGAGATAGGCGAATTTTGCGATCCCATCGATCAGGTAAGATTGGCAGAATCGTCAAATTGGCACACCCATGGAATATCTCTGCCAAGCGTTTGTGAATGAAACTTCGATAGAAGCACATAGTAATAAGACCGACTTAGCTGCGCCCTAAGGATGAATCACGAAACTAGCAAGTGGACCACTTGTACATGGCTGAAAGAGAAATCGGAATAATGATTTATACTAGCAAGATTGGTGTTCGACTGACAACCCTCGCCGAAAATTAACAGAAGTTACTGGATCTAGGTTCCATCCCGACATAGGACACTGACTGCAGTGACAGGTCTTCATCTTCGTTACAATTTGAAAAACGGGAAAGAATATGTTAAGTGCGGAACCTCCATGCGGAATAAGCAACAAGCTAACAGAGAAAGGATTCTAGGCGTCGTTATGTAGGTTACGCATGTTCTTGTCAGTCTTTTTAGGCTTAAATCAAAAGAAAACGGGAATTAAGCGATGGTGTTAGACGCATCATCACAGACAGAGCAGCACGTTGAAACTTTTAACTTATGGGCTGCAGAGAGAAAGAGCTACAAGCAAGTTTATTACAGGCTGTCCTCGGAGCCAATGAGGTATTTGTGAGGGAGGGAGAAATAAAAACAACACAGCTTCAGACTTACTGCAAACAAACCAGTTAGGCTGTATCCGTTGACTACTTAGCAGTTGACTCAGACGGCGAATATCGACAGTGGCTGAAAATTCAGTTGCTGGAGGCAAGTCCACCGCGGCTCCCGCATCAGCAGCCTTCGAATCGGCCTTGTCAAGCTCCTGATGCCAGTTACGGGCACGGAGACCGTGGTAGGTGAGTCTCACCCGAGCTAAGGTTTCCATATTTATTTCCAAGTAGAGATCGCCTGCACCATTGGCTCTGACAGTCTGTTATAAGCGCAAAAATACGAGCCAATAAGCTAACAATCAAGGACCGTATGTGTGTGTGTGTGTGTGTGTGACAAAGCTAG